TTTTTTCCGCCGGAGCTACTTCTGAGTGCCATCACCTCTTATACACTGGGGATATGGTGGGATTGTGATTTGGACTTTCATCATCTACTTATTTTTTGTTAAAATTTAGCTTTTGGCTATACTAATTTATTCTTTGTCCGTCTCGAGCTTTTCATTTTTCCAGCAACTTACCTTTAGCATCGGTGTATTGTCTCCATATCGACACGCCACTACTGATTTCCGGCATATGCTAATTGAGCATTTGAAAAGCAAATTCGGATGACCGGCAAATTTGTAAGCAAAATGTTTCGCTGATGCTCGATGACCATCGCGTGAATACTGAATTGGGCCCATCGCTAGTGAATCGGTGGTACATCTGGAAATAGAACGAGAAATGAGGTTGGCAAAAATACCAATTTTTCACAGTAACCTTTGTGCCTAACTCAGTTTTCAACAAAAGAGCGATGCACAAAGTTCACATTACTTGGCCAGAAAGGCTCAAGTGATGAATTCTGACCAAAACAAATTCCATTTACTTGGAATTGGGAAGAGATGTACGAATTCTTGGGTGTAGGAGGTCGAGGAAAACACAACACGTTTCCAGGATCACAAAAATTGGGACGAATTTTGCCTCTAAGTAAAAAGTAAAAAACAAACCCGTGTGAGTCAACTATTACTGGATCATTCCCGGTGTTAAATTCTGGATTTACAGTACAATCGTGTACGTACATAAACTGATCAGCATTCATATTACGGCAAACCCAGAAATGCTCGATTTCTTCGCCAACAGTAACACTCGGTATTGTATCCAGTGATTCTGGTTCTCCTGTAAATCTTTTTCTGTGAAAAAAAAAATGTTCGGTTTTGGAACTCAAGCTTTTTTATTGTTTCAGCAACCTGTAAATTAGCAAAAAATATTTGAGTATATTTCTGGGACATTTGCATGGGAGTTTATTTCTACGTTAACAGATGCTACTTTGCCTTGTGGTCAGGCTAATTCTGGCAATCCTGACATTCGTTTCTTTCCTAAAAGAATTAGCAGCTCAACCACAAGCACCTGACAAGGTTTTGGTCGTTCCAAGGTATCTTTAGTGTGTGTTGAGCATCAGTATCTTGTCTCACGATGAGACACATCTTGGGAAATAAAACCTTTGGAAAATGTGTTGTGAGGTAGAAATGATTCACGCAGGCACTTCTGAAACTGTCCAAATAGATCTTGTAAAAGAAATATTACCTGTTCGAAAAAGCTTGTAATCACATTCAACATCTTTAATGCTCTTCTCATCCACTACTGATTCCTCGTGGGTTTCTCTGAAATTCAAAAATCTCTCAGATAAACTGCCCATCCTTTACATTGACACATCCGCTTACTAATTTGCATCAGAGAGCAAAAGCACTTGCCGTATTAATGGTTCATTTTATCAGGTAAAACCGGCACACGCCGGACAATCAGATCTGCCATAAGCTTGCTTGTAAACAACTTTCGAAAGAGGGGGTTCATTTGCGTCGTTGCCAGCAGGCGGTTGCTTTGGCACTTTTTATCCTCGGGATACTTCTGGGTTCCTCCGCCTTTCACATACAGTAAATAGGGAAGGAGTTTTGACTTTTGACTTATCAACTGTAATATCAGTGCTTGTATCCGAGGAACTAACTTTGTTATTATTTTCACAGTACGTCTAATATATTTTATTGCCAGTCACTTATAGTTCTTTTGCGGTCAAAAATGGGAACCAGACGCAGAACATAGTCAAAAGGAGGGGCAGAAATTTGGATTCGCAATCAAAAATAATAATTGGACAACGCACGGGCTGCCCGCGCGAAGATGCGTTTTTTGCATGGTTCTCCGCAGTTTTTGTTGCTACCGGC